GAAGGATAACTGAATCCCTCCAGTGGAATTATAAACCCTTAGGATGGATTTCTAAATCCCTCTAGTGGAATTATAAGCCCCCTGGAAAGATATCTGAATCCCTCCAGTGGAGTTATAAGCTTCTAGGAAGGATAACTAAATCCCTCCAATGGAATTATAACCCCCCAGGAAGAACATCTGAATCCCTCCAGTGGAATTATAAACCCCAAGGAAGGATATCTGAATCTCTCCAGGGGAATTATAAACCCCTAGGAAGGATAACTGAATTCCTCCAGTGGAATTATAACCCCCAAGGAAGGATATCTGAATCCCTCCAGTGGAATTATAAACCCTTAGGATGGATTTCTAAATCCCTCCAGTGGAATTATAAGCCCCCTGGAATGATATCTGAATCCCTCCAGTGGAGTTATAAGCTTCTAGGAAGGAAAACCGAATCCCTCCAATGGAATTATAACCCCCCAGGAAGAACATCTGAATCCCATCAGTGGAATTATAAACCCCAAGGAAGGATGTCTGAATCCCTCCAGTGGAATTATAAACCCCTAGGAAGGATAACTGAATCCCTCCAGTGGAATGTAAATCACCCTGCGTAAAGTTTTAAATTGTAAAAAGCATTTTTTCAAACCCCTCCAGTGAAAATAAAATCCCTCCGGTGCTCTCCAGTAGAATCGAAATCTTACTACGAACTTCTTTAAGTCGAATTTTGCGCTCATAGTTTGAATTACAGTTACAGGAAAGGATTCTCGAGAAATTTGGAGAATTTGGGGAAATTCCTAACTTTTGTTACTCGGGCACAGTCTGAATTTTGTGCTCAAAGTCTGAATTTTGCGTTCATAGTCTGAATTTTGGGCTCATACATAGTCTGGATTTTGCGCTCATAGTCTTAATTTTGCGCTCATAGTCTGAAATTTGAGCTCAAAGTCTGAATTTGCGCTTACAGTTTGAATTTTGCACCCATAGTCTGAATTTTGCGCTCATAGTCTGAATTTTGCGCTCATAGTCTGAATTTTGTCCTCATAGTCTGAATTTTGCACTCAAAGTCTCAATTATCTATATTTTTTTCAATGTGTTTTGGTCCAAAATAAACTATCAAAAGTATAAATATATCCACTGATATTATTTTTTTTAGTCTAAAAATGTAGGAAAAGTATTAGACACAGAGACGACTGTTAGGAATTTTTACTGTCTTTAAGCTTTCTTGGTTTCCTTCAACTGTATTGTTTCTTTCTTTGCTAAATCATTAAGTACATGTTTTTGATACAATATGGCGGACAGAAAACAAAATTTAGTCTTGAGATCGTTTTAATATTATAGAATCTTAAGGTCGTCATACAGCGTCTATATCTTTGTGGGAAAACCCTCTATTAAACAAAATTGATGATTATTCATCTAGCCTTTAATTCTTGTTATCTACACGCTCAGGAATATATCAATACAATAAAGATGAATTTTTTTCTTAATAACCATAAGAACCCTAACAATTGCCTTTCTTAAATTGCTTACAAGTTTACAAGTAAACAAAGAGAAGCTGTTAATTGATGTATTTTTAGTCAAAAATGGTTATATTTTTAGTGGAAAATGGTTATATTTTTAGTGGAAAATGGTTATATTTTTGGTCGAAATTTTTTTTTTTTTTTGGTGAGTTATATAAAATTTTAGGTAAAAATGTTTATAGTTTGGTTAGTTATATTTTAGGTAAAAATGTTTATATTTTGGTGAGTTATATTTTGGGTAAAAATGTTTATATTTTGGTGAGTTATATTTTAGGTCTGATATATTTGTGGTGGTAATATTAGTAGTGTTTTAATTTTCCCCGCCCATCGTACATTCTCCAGTCTACATCGATTAAGATTTTTTTATATAANTATATTTTAGGTAAAAATGTTTATATTTTGGTGAGTTATATTTTAGGTAAAAATGTTTATATTTTGGTGAGTTATATTTTAGGTCTGATATATTTGTGGTGGTAATATTAGTAGTGTTTTAATTTTCCCCGCCCATCGTACATTCTCCAGTCTACATCGATTAAGATTTTTTTTGATTTAAGGTCACTGCCCTCCATGCTGGTCTCTATTTTGACATCTATAAGCCCAAAATGTGGGTAAAAGTCAATATGGAGGTCATGACCTCAGATCCAGCATGTTCTTACCCCTTTAATTGACCTTAGCTGGAGGCTGCAAAATTAGTTTCAACATGAATTGCTCCACGGCCTTTAAAGAGAGTTTTTGTGACAACTATACCTTTATATCTTTATGAAATATTTTATTAAAGTAGTATTTCATTCTTACATAGACCAGCATAGCTTTACTATTCTGGTCTATGAAATTCAACACACTTTGCAGCAATGGCGTATACAGGGGGGAGATCTTGATATTCACTGTGGGCACTCTTAATTTGAGGAACTTTACCTTTCCATTTCTTTATTTTAGTTATTCCTCCCCTGATCAAAGGTCCCTCCAAACCCTGATTACAATGCAGGATAGAGAATAAAGATTAAAATAATCTGCAGATTAACTAAAGATCCAAATTAAGCATTTATCTCGATATTTTTCGATACAATCCGACCTTGAGGAATCTGATCTAATGAATTTAGACCTGAAAATGTATGTTAGATCTTACGATAGGTTAGGTTAAGCTGGGTACATAGATTAGAAAGGAGGTTAAAATCTAGTAATTTATTAGACGATTTTAACCCGTAAAAGCAAACTGTTCGATATATTCCGAAAAACTACCTGATAAGTGGTTGGGATATTTATTCATCGGTTTCCTCTCGGTCTGTTTTCAATCAGTAAAAAATTATTTTTGATAAAAATTAAATCAATTAATTGGGTCAAGGTACTAATGCAAGGAAAGTTAATTGCGGTCGCTTATACTCTGAGTACATATTGAAACCAGTTCTCTCTGGGCGTAATTTGTAAAAAAGAATATATGAATCAGTGTTCATCTAGTATCCGAGGAGGTTAAAAACATTTAATTTTGATAATTTTGAAAATTCACATAATAGTTTCAAAAGTCGACCAGAATATTTCATAGATTATTTTTGTGAAAATGGATTCCATGTCAGGCTTTCGACATCCGTCTTGTGTTTACTTTTCCGCCCAAAGACAGTACACTGCAGTACAAGAAATGCGTACACCTATGAAATAACTTTCCTTGCATAAGTACTTTGAATGGGGATAAATGTTGAATGAAGAAATCCTGAAAAAGTTTTGAAAATAATTCTCGCTCACTCAGGGAAAAAGGGAAAAAAGTTACCTCTTCAAAAAAGACCCCCTGAAAAAAATATCAACAAAAAAAACTGAAAAAAAAATATTACTCTCAAACCCCAAATCTGAACTATTAAAAAAAAGAGAGATTATAAAAATTTCCTGATTCTAAATGGTTCATCAAGTTTCAGTGTAAAAATAAGCAAAAAAAAATAAGACAAAAAATCAGTAATTTTTTTTAGAAAATACCTGGATCCGGATCAATTTTTTTCCAGTGCGGATTAAGGATCCGGATCCGCGTCTAAATTAAATGTATTCTATAAGCACTGGACTTTTTAATATCTTTTCAATGTTTAGGTGATAGTTTTCTAGGAGCCACATCCTCATTCCAAACTCCAGGTACACCTCATAATAGATCAATATGAAAATTTGCCAAAAGTCAAACTATTTTTCAGAGAAGGTGCAGAAATAGAAAATAAGGGTCCAATCACATTCTTTTTTTTTACACCGCTTTTCATTTTTTTTACACCGCTTTTCATTTTTGAAAATGCGCCCTTCCCTGTGAACTGGAATTTAAAACTGTTGAAATCTGAAAATAATAAATTCTGATTTTTTAAATGATTGATTGGTATATTGATTGATTTGTTGATTGATTGATGATTTGTTGATTGATTGATTGATTTGTTGATTGATTGATGATCTGTTGATTGATTGATTGTTTTGTTGATGATTTGTTGGTTGATTTATTGATTGATTTGCTGATTGATACCAGTGATTCTTTAGGGTTCTCGAATCCTGCTTCTTTCTTCACTTCCCCAGCAGGTGGTGCAACTATACTAGGAATATAGTATTAAAGGGATTGTAAGCGTTATTTCAAGTGACCTTTCATGCAAGGATGACAATACCTGATTTACAACGGTTCCCTGGAAAGGTGGAAGATAACGTCGTTTTTCTGACGCGAAAAGTGTTTATTTCTGTAAATTTCTCCATTGTTTCTTGTGAGCAAGAAATTCGAAAGTCACTTTTTTATAGAAACCACAAAGAAAAGTTAGCAGTGGATATCTAATTTATGATTGATCAGACAATGCTTTCAAGTGTACTGTTGTAAATCGGACATTGTCATCTTTCCATGGAGGGTCGCTAGAAATTACGCTTACAGTCCCTTTAAATACATTTCGTTTGTTATTGTCAGTTCATTTGATCAGTGGTCAATCAGCTGTCAGTTTGGGGGGTGGGGGAGGCCTTTTAAAAAAATAAAATCTAGTTACTGGAAAGAGATGGCAGATTACCACTTCAGAAGTTCATATGTCTATATTCAAAACTATCAGAAAATGTTTAGGCTCTAAGACAATTACTATGCAATGTTTTAGTTTCTTTATCAAATTATTATTATTCAGGTTCTATCTGAAAATGTAAAAACTCTTAGTTAATAATAATGTTTGTTCGGATAGGTCTCCATCAGCTGTCTCCCTCCAGTGTAGACCTTGCTCCACCCCACTCTACCCTACAATCCCCGCCCATCTCTCTATCCACACCTGTCCCACCACCGCACTCCCTCGTCACCCCTGCCCCACCGCCTCTCAAACCCTCAACACCTCTGCTTCCTTCAAATATTCCCCTTTTTACCCCCGGTAGTACCCCGGCGCCCCTGACCAGTGGAACTCTTCTAAAACGTCCTGTTTACGCTCCTGATCCGTTTATGAGCACTTCTGCAATAAAGGTTGCGCCCCTCGGCGTCCTTGGAGGGGGTCTAGGGTCCCCTGGGGGTCTCCCACCTCAATACACAACTCCAGGTACATATTTATTAGTGTTGAATGATTTTCAAAAATGTCAACCATTACCATACTAAAAATTAACCTATCAAGCTACGGAAAATATTTAACTAATCTATCTATATATAAATTTGGCTTGTCTGTCTGTTTGTTTGTAGCCAATAAACGCCAAAACGGCTGAACCGATCAGGCCCAAATTTTGTGTGGGACCTCGCGTGGCCCCAGGGAGTGTTTATGGCCAATCAGACTTTAAATATGTAATCTTAAAATATTTTTATCCTAAGATATTTAATTTTGTGAAATTTTTGAAAATGCGCGAAAAAATATTTTGAAATCCGCAAATTTTTTTATACTGTACAAAGAGTCTGAGAAGATGCTCACAGATAAAGCCACAATTAAAAGTTGAAAAAGAAGATGGGCGCGAAACGCCCTAACAGCCTACTCTATACTCCTTCCTATTTCTTCTCCCTTTTATAGAGAAACTGCAATTGGTAATATCATCATTCAGACAGAAAAGCAAGAATATCTCTATCATTTTTCTAAACTAAAGGTTTAAGGGGACCGTTGTGAATTGGACATGACACTTATAAAACGGATGTTCGCTCAAATTACGTGAACAGTCTCTTTAAATTCACGTCTTCTTGTAATGAATATTATTTCTAGGTATTCTACCGAGTAGTCAGAGTTCTGTTAACCTTCAAACTATCCCACCAGGTAAACAATTTGTTAATATTTTTTATATTAACTATTAGCTCAAGTGTCCGGCATTGCCCGTGGAATTTTTAAAAATCGAATTTTTAAAAATTAATTTAAAAAAATAGAATTTTGAAGAAAAAAATTGAATGTTTGGATAAAAATAAAATTTCGAGTTTTGTTTAGCCTTTGTCACCCTCAGACTATCCATGAGTGTCCACAAATAATGTCAGCCCATTCGGTCCAGCCGTTTGGTGGAATAGAGGAAACATATATACGAACGTCTTGCTTTTTTATATAGATAATAATTAGTTTAACAAGAATCAACATCAATCACCAATCATGGTGCTAAATCATGAAGTAAAACATATGGATGGGGATTAAAAACATCGAAATGAAACTTTTGAAAAAATGAAAGTTAAATTTTTTACCCAAATCTTTGAAATAAAGAGAGAGGATGATTACCCAATAAGCTTGGAAGTTTTCTTCTTAATAAAGCTGAATTCCAACATTTTGTGGATAAAATGGGGTGGGGGTATAATGTATAAAAAAAAGATAGAGCAAAATTTCAAAGTGAAGATCGAAGATGGGCGCGAACCGCCCTGGAAGCCTGGTAAACATAATTAATTATTTTGAATTCTGAAGGTTCGACAGGATCTGGTGGTCCAGGATTGAACCCGTCCTACTCCAGTCCTAATCTTCAGTCCAGCAACCCATACGGAGCTGAATCCGTCCCTGGACAAAACTTCAAGTCCGGAGCAGACTCCAAATCGAATGAGGTAAAATAACTATATATAGTTATGGCTTAATTAACAAATAAAAACATTTATTGTTCTTTTAAAGCCAAGATAATCAAATTCAATCAATCAAGGATCGCTTCATTGTACGAGGGTGCTAGAGCATCGGGAAACCCGTCGGTCGCAGGGTGCAATTAAAACTATTTATGATCCAAAAGCTTAAAACCTCCAGCAGGGTTTAAGAGCCTGTAGACGTAATTTAAAGTGACCCTCAATTCAAAAATAATAGATTATCAGGTCCTATTCACAACAGTACCCTGTAAACACGGATACATGTTCTTGTTTTTCATTCTGACAATTGATTAGTTTTAATCGCACTGCTGATTTATGCTGCAGAAGTAAAGATGGAAATTATCAGAGTTGGACATGCCACTCTTGAAATGGAGGGTCACTTGAAATTACATCTACAGTCCCTTTAATAAATTAAGAAAAAAAAACAATCATTGCATCTAATTGCATTGACTTTTGTCACTCGATTTTTATCAAATTAAGAATGTTAACACGAATGCATCCACGAGTCGACAGAAGAAACTTCCTAATGTATTCTAGGTTCTACTGAGTGTATACAATGTATTCTAGGTTCTAAGGAGTGTATACCATGTATTCTAAGTTCTAAGGAGTGTATATCATGTATTCTAGGTTATAAGGAGTGTATACCATGTATTCTAGGTTCTACACAGTGTATACAATGTATTCTATGTTCTAAGGAGTGTATACAATGTGTTATATGTTCTACAGAGTGTATACAATGTATTCTAGGTTCTAAGGAGTGTATACCATGTATTCTAGGTTCTACACAGTGTATACCATGTATTCTATGTTCTAAGGAGTGTATGCTATGTATTCTATGGTCTACAGAGAGTGTATAGCATTTATTCTAAGTTCTACAGAGTGTGTACAATGTATTCTTGTTCTGCGGAGTGAATACCATGTATTCCATGTTCTACAGAGTGTATACAATATATTCTATGTTCTACGGAGTGAATACCATGTATTCTAGGTTCTACGGAGTGTATACCATGTACTCTAGGTTCTAAGGAGTGTATACCATGTATTCTATTCTCTATAGAGAGTGTTCACCATGTATTCTAAGTTCTACAGAGTGAATATAATGTATTTTATGTTCTACGAAGTGAATACCAGGTATTCTATGTTCTACGGAGTGTACACTATGTATTCTAGGTTCTACAGAGTGTATACAATGTATTCAAGTTTCTAAGGAGTGTATACCATGTGTTCTAGGTTCTACAGAGTGTATACAATGTATTATAGGTTCTACGGAGTAAATACCATGTACTCTAGGTTCTACAGAGTGTATACAATTTATTCTATGTCCTACGGAGTGTATACCATGCAATCTAGGTTCTACGGAGTGAATACATGTATTCTAGGTTCTACGGAGTATATACCATGTTTTCTATGTTCTACGGAGTGGACTATGTTTTCTAGGTTCTAGAGAGTGTATACTAAGTATTCTATGGTATACGCAGTGTATATACCATGTATTTCAAGTTCTAAGGAGTGTATATACCATGTATTTCATGTTCTACGGAGTGTATAACATGTATCCCATGTTCTACGGAGTGTATACCATGTATTTCAGGTTCTACGGAATGTATATACCATATGTTCTAGGTTCTACGGAGTGTATACCATGTATTTCAGGCTCTACGGAATGTATAAACCATATTTTCTAGGTTCTACGGAGTGTATACCATGTATTTCAGGTTCTACGGAGTGTATATACCATATGTTCTAGGTTCTAGGGAGTTTATATACCATATGTTCTAGGTTCTACGGAGTGTATACCATGTGTTCTAGGTTCTACGGAGTGTATACCTGTTGAAGGAACTCGGTATGATGTCCTTATTCCTCAGAGAATTAAACGCTCAGTGTATTGGGCCGGAGAGGTAGATTTTCTAGAGCAAATAATTCTAAAGAAACATATTTTTACTCTTTTGAGAATATATTGTTGTTTACCTTTGAACAATGAGTTTAGAGAACTCTGTTTGTTTATCTTTCAAATTGTATCTATAATTGTATTTATCAAATTGTATCAAATTGTCTCTATAATTGTCCTGGGTAAAATAATATATGAACCAGTGCTTAAGATCCATTTAATTTTAATGTATCCGCACATTTTCGATATATATATGCATGAAACCCTGAGAAGTTATTCAAATAGCTCATTTATTTATAAAATTAAGGTTAATTTCACTTCAGCTAAAAAACTTCTACTTAAGAATGTTAACATGGATTCATCTTTGAGTCGCCCAAAGAAACTTCATAATGTGTTCTAGGTTCTAAGGATTGTATACCATGTATTCTAGGTTCTACACAGTGTATACAATGTATTCTACAGGGGTCCCACATCAAATTAGACCGCGTCAATGGGTCTAAATTACAATTTTGGGAACAAATCAGAAAATTTAAGAAGAATGAATCATTTAAAAAAAATTTAATAAGGCTAATAGAAAATTTTTTTGGCAGAAAATGCTAGATTTTTCGCGTATTATGTGCGTATTTTGGCGTTAAAAATTGTTGATAATCTAATATGATATGGGATGCTCTGTATGTTCTAAGGAGTGTATACCATGTGTTCTAGGTTCTACAGAGTGTATACAATTTATTCTTGTTCTACGGAGTGAATACCATGTATTCTATGTTCTACAGAGTGTAACATTCTCTTACAAATTAAGGCTGTAGATACAAGCCACGGTAGTTGGGGCTTTACGGCTTCAGCTACTTCCACTCGGGCATAACAGTATCATTGCACATGTCATACTAACTCTGTGACCCACGTACTCCTAAGGGAGGCATAGGGTTGCCGGGAGGGGTGGTTTCCTGGTAACATTTGTGTTATTGGGATGTCATAATAGATAGATAGATACAATATATTCTATGTTCTACGGAGTTTATGCCATGTATTTTAGGTTCTACGGAGTGAATATCTTGTATTCTAGGCTTTAAGGAGTGTATACTAAGTATTCTATGGTATACGCAGTGTATATACCATGTATTTCAGGTTCTACGGAGTGCATATACCATGTATTCTAGGTCTACGGAGTGTATGCCATGTATCCCAGTTTCTACGGAGTGTATATACCATGTATTCTAGGTCTACGGAGTGTATACCATGTATCCCTGGTTCTACGGCGTGTATACCATGTATCCCAGGTTCTACGGAGTGTATATACCATATGTTCTAGGTTCTACGGAGTGTATACCATGTATCCCTGGTTCTACGGAGTGTATATACCATGTATTTCAAGTTCTACGGAGTGTATATACCATGTCCTAGGTTCTACGGAGTGTATACCATGTATCCCAGGTTCTACGGAGTGTATATACCATATGTTCTAGGTTCTACGGAGTGTATACCTGTTGAAGGAACTCGGTATGATGTCCTTATTCCTCAGAGAATTAAACGCTCAGTGTATTGGGCCGGAGAGGTAGATTTTNATCTGATTAAGGTTGTAAATCGGGCATTGTCATTTTAGCATAAAGGAACGCTTGCAATTGCGCATACGCTCCCTTTAATTTTGAGGAAAATTTATTTAAATAAGATGTTTGACGAAAAAAGAGGATTTTACTGTTTTCAGAAGCTAAGGCTCAAAAAGATTAAAGGGACTGTTGAACGTGACCCTCCATGACGAGAGTACAATACCTTTTTCACAACAGTACCCTTGAAATCATTTTCTTGATCATTATTATGGAAGATATTGTTGTTTTTCTAGTATTTTATTCCGATAATTTATATGTATTTTCCTAAGTAGAGAAACCACAATAAAAAATAATCAGTTTTTCCAATTTATAAAGATGGATGTCTAATTTATCCTTGATCAGACAAAGCTTTTAAAGGTACTGTTGTGAATCGGGCATTGCTAACTTTGCATAGAGGTTCACTTGAAATTATGCTTACACTTCCTTTAACACAAAAATTGTTAACATTAATATTAAAAATGAATAAATTTTAGATTTATAATTTTTTTAATTTCTAAGCATAATTAAGCAATGTTTTATTTATTCAGGAAGATGGGTTCCCTATGAAGAAGATGTTGCTGAAAGACTGGAAGCCGAGTTTATGGACGCTCAAAGGTAAATTTCTGTCTAAAATTATACCAGGGGTGTTTATATTTTATGTTTATCTTTTGGGAAAACTAAATTGTTTGGTTGTGGAAACAAGATGTTTTTGCGGAGGTAAAATAATTTGGGGGAAAATCCTCTAAGCAAGCTTCGAAAATCATTTATTTGTTTCAAAATGTTGAAAATGTTTATGTTGATTCCAAATAAGGGAAGAATTCACAGAAATAAGCATATTTTGATTCAGAAAACGACAGTATTTTTCACATTTTAAGCAGCTACGTAGAACCTCACAGAAATAAACACTTTTTGAGTCAAAAAACGACGTTATCTTCCACATTTTAAATAGACTAGGCTTTTAGGGCGCTTCGAGCCCATCAATATTTAAATTGTGAACATGTTCTTTTTGTTTACATTTAAAAACAAAGAAGAAAAAATTTTTGGGATTTTTCAAGAATTTAAATTTTTTTAAAAATTAAAAACCTTCTAAACACATTTTTTTATCATTCATAAACCTTCCCTGTGGTCACGTGATGTCCCACAAAAAATTTGGGCCCGATCGGTTCAGCCGTTTTGACGTTTATTGGATACAAACAAACAGACAAACAGACAGACAAGCCAAATTTATATATAGATTCAGGTTTCAAGGGTTACGTTGTAAATAGGACATTGCCATCTTTGTATGGAGGGTCACTTGATTTTACGTTTACAGTCCCATTAATTTCTATTAGAACTGGAACAGTCCCTTTAATTTATATTAGAACTGGAACAGTCCCTTTAATTTATATTAGAACTGGAACAGTCCCTTTATTTTCTATTAGAACTGGAACAGTACCTTTCATTTATATTAGAACTGGAACAGTCCCTTTAATTTCTATTAGAACTGGAACAGTCCCTTTAATTTAAATTATAACTGGAACAGTCTCTTTAATTAATATTAGGAACTGGAATAGTCCCTTTAATTTATATTAGAACTGGAACAGTCCCTTTAATTAATATTAGGAACTGGAATAGTCCCTTTAATTTATATTAGAACTGGAACAGTCCCTTTAATTAATATTAGGAACTGGAATAGTCCCTTTAATTTATATTAGAACTGGAACAGTCCCTTTAATTAATATTAGGAACTGGAATAGTCCCTTTAATTTATATTAGAACTGGAACAGTCCCTTTAATTAATATTAGGAACTGGAATANTCCTTGAAATTCATACCCCTGATTCCTTATTTAAATAATTATCATTATTATTATCTATTTACTATTATCTTTTATTATTATTAAGGTGATCATGCACTTTCCTACTTCTTCTGCTAATCATGGTGCATTAGGTGATAAATAAAATGTTTATTTAATGTTAAATTGGAAAATGATAATAATTTAGAATTTAGAATTTAGAATTTAGAATTTAGAATTTAGAATTTAGAATTTAGAATTTAGAATTGACCTTTGAATTTTCAATCAATTGTTTATCTTGAAATTAATGCACCCACTGTTAGAATTTTTAAAAAAAATTTAAGGAAAGTAAATGCCTTTATTTTTTTGTTTAAGATATTATTTTATTTATTCAAGCATTTATTTAGCAACAAACAATATATTATAATTCAAAGAAACATGTTTTATAATCTCAAATGATAATAATAATGAATAGATTAAATTATTTGACTGTGCGAGGGAGGGGGTGCAGAGCATCCATGAGCCCCGCAAACTGACCTCCGGAGCCTCCTGATTCTCCAAGCCAACTTCTAATCCACAAAACTTTATAGTTTTTGTGAAATACTTGAAAAATGAAATACAAGAAAAGAAAAATTTAAGTATTTGTCAAAAACTATTATGTTTTGTGAATTGGTGGTAGTCTAATTAGATTCGTTCATAATGCACCTGTGAAATGATTTAAAATTTGTCTTTCTTTATATAAAGCTGCAATAGTTCTGCACCAGTTTAAGAATTTGGGAAATTTAGAAAAACAAATTAAGAAGTTTAAACCTCAGTAAAAGTAGACTTTTTAATCATAATCGTTTATGTACCATTTAAAACTTTATGATCATTTTTAGATTTTTCGAAAAAAAAGGCTTTTGGTGGATGTAAAAGCCAAATATTTGTTTTTGGATAACGGATTGCTGGACGTGGAGACAGAGCTGGTTACATAAGCAGACGTAGCATGAGGCTCGGAGACGATTTTGATTGGCTAGGAGTTATCTTAGAGGCCATTCTGCTCTATACCCCCTCCCTCACTGTGCTCACTGTTTAGTTATTGATTGATTGCTGAATGTTTATTTCTTTTATGCATCCTTTATAAATAGAAAAGCATCTTAATATCGATCAGTTATAATTAAATTAAAACTAAAGATCAGATTTTTTTTCAAAACCGGTTTTTCATTAGCTGATCCACGTGTTTAGATGACTGGGGCCAGGTTCAGCCGAGTTCAGATCCTGCACTTAAGCCGCGTGTTGTTCACAGAGGTCTAGATGGCCTTCCTGATATTCCAGATTTGAAGGGTACTTTTTTAAGAACTTACCTTCGTTTGAACTATTGTTCGTTTGAAATATTGTTCATTTGAACAATTGTTCGCTTGAACTACCGCCGTTTGAACTATTGTTCGTTGGAACACCGCCGTTTGAACTATTGTTCGTTTGAACTACTGACATGACGTCATATCCTGTTGTTCAAATCAACACATAACAATTGCTTATTTGAAATATTTTATATAAATTCAGTTTTTTGAATTTGTTATAATTCATAAAGTTAGGTCATACAATTAAAGATATTTACAAAAAAATATTTCAAATGAACATAGTTCAAATGAAAATAAAAATAGTTCAAATGAAACAGAAAAAAGTTCAAATGAACAAAAAATAGTTTAAATAAACCAAAAAAATGTAAAATTTAATCTTTCAAATGAACATATAAATAGTTCAAATTAACGTAAAATTAGTTCAAATGAACCAAAGAATCTAAGTAAATAGTTGAAAAAAACTAAAATATTTCAAATTAACACAAAAATAGTTCAAACGTGTGCATTAATAAGGGTTAGGTTAAGTTGAGACCATTTGTGTGCCGAGCGCTGCGGCTAGGACAGGCTATTGGGCCGAGCGCTGCGGTTAGGACAGGCTAGGGGGTTGAGCGCTGCGGCTAGTAGTTAAAATGAACATAATAATAGTTTAAATGAACCAAAAAATATAACTTAAATGTGTTTTTTTTTCTGGGTTAGGTTAAAACAATTTCTGTGCCGAGCAATGCGGAAATGGCAGGCTAGGGGGCTAGTTCAATTCAATATAAAAATAGTTCAAATGAACCAAAAAATAGTCTAAAAATTTGTTGTTCCAGAAAACTATATTTCATTTAGACTCATGAATTTATTGGAATTTAAAAAAAAAACATTTTTTCTATGTTCATTCTAACTATTTTTTTGTTCATTTTAATTATTTTTCTGCAGATTTAAACTATTTTTTGTTCATTGGAACTACTGTTTTTGTTCATTTAAACAATTTTTTTTGTTCATTTAAATTATTTTTATATTTATTTGCACTATTTTTAAGGGTCATTTGAACTATTATTTTAATAGTTTAAATGAATAAAGAAAATTCTAAATTATATAGCCACCCAGGCAACAAATCAGCCACAAGGCAATAATATAGCCACACAGACAATAATCCTGACCAACCTAGGATCTATTGGGGTTTCCATTACTTACTAAATTTAAAAAAATTGTGTGGAAAGTTCAAATGAGCATGAAAAAAACTCGTTTGAACTATTGGTTGTTTGACCTACTCACATGGTACCACTTGCAGCAGTTCAAACGAACAAAAGTTCAAACGGCGGTAGTTAAAACAGGATATCATCTACTTTTTTGTTCAGGCAGCAAAAAATCCGCAAAAATTCATAAGAAAGTCCTAATTCCCGAAGAAAAAATTAGTTAACAGAAATTATTAAAAAAAAGCCTTATTGATATTGATTTTAATTTTGTTCTAGTGAATGTGAGGAGGTCGACCATCTTTGTTTCCTGGTTCACGGGATAGGGTCAGCTTGTGATATGCGGTTCAGGTAAAACCAGTTTAGAACCCTCAGAGGTCAAAACTTTTGTTTATGTTTTGATTATTCTCAAGACCCCTGGCGGAGAAAATGAGAGAATTTCTGATTTTTTTTATGATATTTTTAAGGATCTACATATATTACATTAATATGCAGATAAATATTCAAGTTAATGTTTACGAATATCTAGCACATCAAATATAAAAATAAAGGACGTTTTCCTATGGACGATTTTTATTCGTTATGATTCTTTCTTTTTTTTCGGCCATTTTGTTTTCTTTTTTAATAACATGTGACTTAAGCTTTTGGTCAAATATTGTTCCTTTGGACGGTTCATCTTATGCAATGGACAACTTTGCTCCCTTAGGAGAGGGGTGAGCAAATAAACTCCTGTATCCTGGTTGTTTGTTATAATGTATTCTATCCCTGTTTCATCGAATTCTTGGATGTTTTTTATGATGATTAATTATCTATATATATAAAGTAGTAATCTCTGTTTGTTTGTAAGCTAGTAGTAGTTTTAATTATAAAGATAATAACATGTTTTATTGTTCAGGTCCATATTTGAAGTTGTGGATACCTACAGAGATCTGACTGGGAATATATCAGCCAAACATTTTGCAGGAGCTCATTTAGGTTAGATTTAGGGATTTATCTTATATATTTGGCTATTGATTGATTGATGGATTGATGGATTGATTGATGGATTGATTGATGGATTGATGGATTGATTGGTAGATTATAGTGAATTACTTTTTACTGATTAATAGATTGGTTGATTGAGTGATCGTTGATTGATAAATTGATTTAATGATTGATTAATTGGTAAACTGATTAATTCATTTTTTAATTGATTGATTATGTTGTATGCTGTGAATTTTTAGTACTAACTGATTGATTGATTGTTGTGTGTATTCAGCTAGCTCGGCAAACCGTGTCGAGTTCCTCCCCGTGGACTGGCACAGTAAGCTGCACCGGGAGGACGAGGGGACGGATAATAGGCTGAAACCTTTAACCTTGAGATCTGTTCCAAAACTACGAAGTTTCGTCAACGATACGCTCCTTGATGTTCTCTTCTACACCAGGAATATTGTTAATCCACCAAATGTCAAGATAAAAGATCTGCGAAAGAAAAAAAGTTTCATTCTTCGATTTTGAATTGCCTTTTTAATTTTGTAAATGCAAACTTCATAAAATCAAGTCAAGTAGAAAATTGACATTTTCTTAACGTTTAAAGATTCTTGATTTTGGATTTAACTCTGTATGTATACTTAATTATTTCACTTTGATGTTTAGATTTGAAAATATTTCTTAAAAAGGGCCATAACAAATCGCCTAGTTCTAAGGTCCATCAAAGCTGTTCGCAACCCTTGGGGCCGTGATTGCTGCAACCTCTCTTTTAAGGTTTCTCTTCATAGAGTTCTGATTTTAAAACTACCTGTACACTTTGGATTTTAGAAAGCCCAGAAGAAAGACGTGAAGGGGGTTCAGATTCAGACTTCTATAAAGTTTTTTATCAGTTATAAGGATTGATAAAATCAAGTCAAGTATAAAATAGGCGTTTTCTAAACTTTTTAAGATTCTTGATTTTGGTTTTAACTCTGTCTGTGTTTAGTATATAGAAGGGGTCGTTTAATTAACAATTTGTAGTTCAATGTCTTCTTTTGGCGTAAAACTATGTCAAATGTTCGAACACCTCTCTGTTTACTTTGAACAGTTAATAATCTTTATTTCAAATCTATAGTGCAGATAGAAATGAAATATGGGTAGAAATTTCTAAAATCAATTAAAATTTTTTTCATAATTATTGGTTTAACTCTGTATGTGTCCAGTCCTGTCTACTGTCAGACTATACTAGACACTGTCTGCTCTGAGATTAACAAGGTTTATAAACTCTTCAAGGACAGAAATCCAGGTCAGTTGTAATTTCATCTGAGCTGAAAACTTTTGAAAGAGATATCCTTAATCCCAATCACTTAATCACAGTATCCAATGGACACACTTTTGATTTTCTTCTTAAACCGTTCTTTCTTAGATATAGTAGAGAAAAATCAAAAACCGGTTTTTTAAAATTAGATAGTCCCCCCCGTTTCTGTATATTAATCTTAATTGGCGCGTAAAATTTCAAATTTATCAGCTTCATATACGCGACTCTGATTGGTTGAATTTTCAGGATACAAGTACAAGATTAGGTTAGCCTCGATATTAAGAAAAAGAGAGGATCAAGCAGTAATCTTGATATCCACCATTCTAAAGTTTTCAGCTCTAATCCTATATGCAATGGCAAAACCTGATTCAATACGGTATCCTATAGAAGCTTTGTCTGATCGAGTATACATTAGATTTTAGATATTCATGTTTTTTGTTAATTTTCATTTGCCGTTCTCTGCAAAAGTGACTTGCGCATTTCTTTCTTCCTTTAAATAGCAATCAAGAAACTATCAGAGTTAAATATATTTTGAGTAAGAAAAACGACAGTGTCTTCTGCATTTTTGATTAGGACTCCGCATACAGTTTCTTTATGCACAAACAAATTAAGATTTAAATGAATAGGAAAGAAATCAAAAAAACGACGAACGAACAAATATACACGAACAAATGAACAAACAATTAAAAACAAACGAGTGAACTGACAAACTGCAAACGAACAAACAACCAAACAAATGAGGGAACTGATAAACTGCAAACGAACAACCGATCTAACAAACGAATAAACGAATGAACGAATAAACAAGCGATTCTCAAAATGAATATTTCAGATTTCTCTGGAGGTGTGTCATTAATAGGACACAGTCTGGGTTCTCTAATCCTATTTGACCTGCTGTCAGGACAGCCTAGGACGGAAGAAGAGGAGGTCAAGGACATCCTTGAAGGAGAAGAGGACCCTGGAGCCCAGGATCTGAACGATTCATTCAAGGAGCACATTTATTTATTTAATCTATAACTATATTCTTAAACTTCGGTATTGGTCTGGAGTAAGCGAACCTATCTATTTATTGTATATTGTTGAATAATCCTCATAAACCTTTGTATTATGATAAGGATGACTTTGAAGACTTGCAGTTGCTGATGATGGTTCTGATAGATTTTGTGACCAGTAATCTTGCATCAGCATCTCACGAATACTGTCTGAATTTAGCATAGTTTCTTTTGAAGATATTTACTGTGGTTGTCTGTTTTACTTCCTGTGGGATAGAGTTTCATTTTATGGAACTCTCAAGCTGAAGAAATTGTTCCTGATACTGGTTCATTTTATGGAACTCTCAAGCTGAAGAAATTGTTCCTGATACTGGTTCATTTTATAGAACTCTCAAGCTGAAGAAATTGTTCCTGATACTGGTTCATTTTATGGAACTCTCAAGCTAAAGAAATTGTTCCTGATGTTGGTTCATTTTATGGAACTCTCAAGCTGAAGAAATTGTTCCTGATACTGGTTCTATAGTTTTAGCCAAACGATTTTTCTGGCTTCAGGGGTTCCTGACTTTCAGGTGAACTGGACCTTGAACTGGGATTGATGGTATGGTTTTATGTTGGTATTATGTATCTGTAAAGAGTGTTAAACGCTACTTAAGAATTAGGTCAGATATCCTATATGTTTGATACCCTTGAGATCTAATAACCTATTTGTTGGATATTCATCAGGTCGGTTTCCATAGCACCCGATATTCTCAATTTTTGATTCTTCAATTTAGCTTATCTGTTGATTTGTTTGTCTGAAAATTTTTTCCAAGATAAAAATGTGAATTTATGAAATAATAAATGTGAATAAATCAGGTCCCAGTTAAACCAAGATGGGATAGTGAGCTTAGTTTAGAAGAGGTGAACATTCATCTAATACTTCTAAAATCATTTAAGTGGAAAAAAAATTCAACTTTTAAGATTTTTTCTTCCACTTTTGTTCGATATGCGTTTTTTATAATAATGTATTTCTCTGAATCTGATTTTAACTCAACATTTTAAATTCAGATTATTATCATTATTATTATTAAGATTATTATCATTACTGATTTAGTATAGTCACTTCAGTCTTGTCGTGTGGGTATAGGACGTCCCTAAAACTCTGATTTGATTTGATTTGATTTGATGATGTAACCTATTAAAAATCTTCAAAAACAATCTATCTAAAGTTATTTTCCAAGGGAATTTGAATTAAATAAGGAAATTTGCATTTACAGAAAGTTCCAAAAACCAAGGAACCTGAGTAAAATACGTCTGAGAGAATTTAACAACCTTCTTTTGAAATGTCGTCTTAAATTTTTGATTTTAAATGATCTTTCATTAAAAAATTCAATTTAGGTTTTCAGTAAACTGGAAATATCTGAGTATACACAAACCTTCATAAATCAGGTGATTAATTAATTATTAATTATTAATTATTAATATATTTCATAATTTAAAACTAGATCCTGACTCTTAGGGTCGGTCATTAATCAATGGTCACCCATTAGGGACCGGTACATAATCTAAATTTTTTTTATATTCTATATCTAAAAATTCATTATTTTCAACCTTTTTTATACTTTATTTCTAAAACTTCATTGTTTTCAACCTTTTTTATATTTTATATCCATATGTTAACTGTAGTTGTTTCCTTCCCAGATCTCATATCTTCTCAATTATGAAGTGTTAAACCATATGTTAACTGCACCGGATGTAAAATTTTGACATCTTGAGTTTGATGTGGAAAGTAGAACGTCCCTAAAACTCTGATTGATTCAATGACATTGAGTATTGTTTCTCGTATTATTTTTCTTTCGTGTGTTTTTTTAAGGATAAATAATATTAATAAGTATCTTATTTGTTTTTTGACCTTTTTTTGTTGTTCCAGGGAATATCAATGGATGAGCTGGCAGCTTGCTCAGAAGAGGATCTCAAGGTGATTTTAGCGATTTACTTGATTGATTTGATTGATTTCAGTGATTTGATTAATTTATAAACTGACAAGCTGCAGAGCCCGGCGTTGCCCGTGGAAAAAAAAATTTTGAAAAAAAAAAATTTCGAATTATTTTAGCCCAAAACCGTCCCGGCCACCCACGAGTGTCCACAAAAAAGTTCAGCCCATTCCGTCCATCCGTTTGGCCGGCCATAGGCAACATATTTTTATACGAATGTCTTGTTTTATTATATAGATTAACAATGTTTTTTATATTGAGGATTGATTGATTAATAATGTTTAGGAGATTGGTTGATTGATTGATAGTTTATTGATAATTGATCTAGTGATTTGATTAATGGATTGTTTAATTAATCGATTATTTGATTAATTGATTGATTATATGATTGATCGATCGATCGATTGATTGATTCAGGAAGCAGAGCTACCTCTTGGTCCTCGTAAGAAACTGATCAACTTCATGCGTCGGCGCAATGAGTCCGGTTTCCAGGTAACGTCAGTCTCGAATGCATAGAATGGTGTTTTTTTGAGTTTGATGCACCCAGGGCATGATTTCTTCAATCAATTTAATTCGATTTGATCAATTAGATTTTATTTTATCAGTTTAATTTGGTTTAATTAATTTGATTTGATTTAATCAATTTTATTAAATTTAATCAATTATATTTATGTAATCAATTTGATTTGGTTAAATCAATTTGATTTGGTTATATCAATTTGATTTGATTTAGTCAATATGATTTGGTTTACTCAATAAGACTTGATTTATTTTCATTTGGTTTAATTTAAACAATTTGATTTGATCCAATTTATAATTTGATTTAACCAATTTGATCTAATCATTTATTTTAATCAATTTTATTTGATTTATTTAACTCAATATGATCCAATAAAAATTTTGTTTTTAAAGACAAAAACGGTCTTTAAACTCGCATGTATCAAAAAAAAAGGTTGAAGTTAAACTTAAATATGTAAATTTTTATTAGTAATTGAAAAGTTTGATTTAAATATTTTTAGGAGTTTCAGAACAGTGCTGTTAGAAGTAGAGTAGACTATACAGTAGGACCTGCAGGTTGAACAATTCATTTCTTGATAATCACAGGGTCTAAATAAAACTTTGTCAAATTATTTTTATCTTTGAATTGGGGTAAAAATTACCAGGAAAGATTAAATGATGTCCGACTTTTCACCCCCACCCTCTTAAAATCTTCGAAAATCACACTTATTAGTACATAAATAATATTATAGCCCTGAAAGTTTAAAGTTTATTTAACTGGAGGCTTATATCTCAGTAATCAAAATATTGGGATAACTGTTGATCTTAGGGACTGAAAAAAAGATGGATTTTACATCATTAATTAATCGAATATATTTTATTTAGGAACTGGGCAACCGTTTGTTCGGTATCCGAGACTCGACATAAAACCTGAAGCTTTCTTTGCGTTCGGTAGTCCTATAGGGATGTTCATGGCAGTCCGTGGTATTCAGTCATTAGGTAGGTTCAAAACAAATAAGAATTTGATAATTTCTTATCAAATGATCAAATGTGTCCTGTGTCCCCTCCCCCCCCCCCCATTTATGAAAAATCCCTGCCAATCCCAATCAATCTAAACTATCCTTCTATAATCTATATATGATACAGACAGAGACTGTGACAAGTATCCTGCACTCTCATTGGTGGGAGTTCTGGTGACGTAATACGGACTTATAAATAATCTTATCAATTATGTCTATTAAAAATAAAAATAAAAATTAAAAAATAATAATTGAGAACACCCAAGTTACAATTAGGTTTCTCTGTGATCCCTTCGTTTTCAGATTGGTTGCACATTTGCTGAATATGATCTGCTTAAATCTACTATTTCTATACTAAATTGTATATATATGAATTTTCGTATAAATTTGATAAAGTTTCATATCAATTTCTCGAGAGAGGAACTTCAGATATAACTTTCATGGGTCGCGGTCAAGAGTTGAAGAGATAAGCTTTCAGTCTATACCTCCTTTCATTTTTCCTTTACAGTCTTTTTAAGAAGTTGTTTGTGTGATGAGTTTTTCACTAGAAACATGCTACCAGAAAATAGTCACTTAATAATTTCTCCAGCACTGGCTTATTTAGTATTTTCGATACAAACATTGATCTGTCTCATCAAGATGAGTTGAGATATTTTCTCCATCAATTCGTTACCATTTATTGGGTGTAAAGCCGTCTTCTATCTGATTTTGTTGGATAATTTTGACCTTTACCATCTTGTGTGGTATTTTAGAAACACCCTTTATGTCCTGATTTTATTTTAGTTTTGATTTAGGTCCTGATTTCAAGTTCCCAACCTGTGATAGATTCTTCAATATCTTCCATCCATACGATCCGGTAGCTTACAGGATAGAGTCCTTAGTAGGACATGAGTACTCAGATCTCAGGTCATTCATTTATTCATTCATTTGTTCATTTATCCTTCATTCCTTTCATTCATTAATTTAATTTTCTACAATTCCTTTTATGCATTCATTCATTTATCCACAATTTCTTTCATTCATTTAATCATTTTCATTATTTATTAATTCATTTGTTAATTTATCCTTTATTCCTTTCATTCACTTATTCATTTATCCTTCATTCCTTTCATTCATTCATTCTTTTATCCACAATTCCTTTCATTCATTTAATCATCCTTCCTTTCATTCATTTATTAATTCATCCTTTATTCCTTTCATTCATTCATTCATTTATCCACAATTCCTTTCATTCATTTAATCATCATTCCTTTCATTATTTATTAATTCATTTGTTAATTTATCCTTTATTCCTTTTATTCATTTATTCATTTATCCTTCATTCCTTTCATTCATTCATTTATCCAAAATTCCTTTCATTCATATAATCATTTTTCTACAATTCCTTTCATGCATTCATTCATTTATCCACAATTTCTTTCATTCATTTAATCATCATTCCTTTCATTATTTATTAATTCATTTGTTAATTTATCCTTTATTTCATTTATTCATTTATCCTTCTTTCCTTTCATTCAGTCATTCTAATATCCACAATTCCTTTCATTCATTTAATCATCCTTCCTTTCATTCATTTATTAATTTATCCTTTATTCCTTTCATTCCTTCATACATTTATCCACAATTCCTTTCATTCATTTAATCATCATTCCTTTCATTATTTATTGACTCATTTGTTAATTTATCCTTTATTCCTTTCATTCGTTTATTCATTTATCTTTCATTCCTTTCATTCATTCATTCTTTTATTCACAATTCCTTTCATTCATTTAATCATCCTTTCTTTTATTCATTTATTCATTCACTTATTCATATAAGTATTCATTGATTTAAATTTCCTTTCATTTATCCTTATATTGATTCATTCTCATAATCATTTACTTTTTCATTAATTCATGTTACTCTGTTTTTACTTATCATATTACACTTTCCAACATGTAGTCAAATTCATCCTTTCATGCATTAAATCATTAATTTATTTATTCATTCAATCATTCATTTATTATTTATTCATTCATGCATTTAATCATCCTTTCATAAATCCTTTCGTTCATTTATTTCTTCATTTGATCTTAGCTCTATCCATTTATTCATTTATTCATTTATTCATTTATTCATTTATTCATTTATTCATTTATTGCATTTATTCATTTATGCATTTATGCATTTATGCATTTATGCATTTATGCATTTATGCATTTATGCATTTATGCATTTATGCATTTATTCATTCATTTGTTCCTTTTCTATTCATTCTTACTTGATTGATTGATTAGACCTGTTCTGATCCCGCACCACAAGGGTCGGAAGAGAATGCACCTTGAGTTGAAGGAAACGATGTCAAGAATGGGAACTGATATCAAACAGAAGTTTATGGACAGGTTTGTGTTCAGAGAAGTGTCTCTAAGGGAACTGTAGACGTTCAAGTGTCATGTCTGATTCACAACTTTTCCCTTTAATCCTTTTCCTGGTCAAGGATGATGGAGCTTAATTTAACCGTTGAATTACTTTTAATTCTTGAAAACTTTAAAAGCTGTTTTTATTTATTGAAGATTATTTATTATTTATTTTCGGTTAACTAAAATAGCAATAATTTTCCAAATACTTATTTTAGTTTAAAGGCTGTTTACAGCATGGCGGGGACTTTGACAGGGTCACAAGCGGAGCAGACCGTGGAGGAGATGGTAGACGACAGGGAGTCCATCTCTCCTACACAGGTAGAGTTAGATAGAAGGATAGATGGATAGATGGATAGATGGATAGATGGATAGATGGATAGATGGATAGATGGATAGATGGATAGATGGATAGATGGATAGATGGATAGATGGATAGATGGATAGATGGATAGATGGATAGATGGATAGATGGATAGGTGGATAGATGGATAGATGGTTAGATGGATAGGTGGATATATGGTTAGATGGATAGATAGATATAGAATATTGATAGATGATTAGGTGGATAGATTGTTAGATGGATAGATGAATAGATGGATAGATGTTTATATCATTATATAATCATTGATTTGATTGATTGATTGATTGATTCATTCATTCATTCATTCATTCATTCATTCATTCATCCTTTTGTTTTAATTTGATTGGATTGTGTTTAGGAATGTGAAGGAGGTTTGACTGCTGAGTTAAATAAAGGCCGAAGAATTGATTATGTTCTGCAGGTAATCATGTTTTTCATTGTCAGAATTATGGAGCTTTATATTTTGGTAGGGAAGATACAGCTCTTATTCTCTATTGTTTAGGAGGCTCCAATGGAATCGTTTAATGAGTATCTATGGTCCCTGGCTTCCCATCTCTGCTACTGGAGTAGTGAAGATACAGCTCTTATGGTTCTCAAGGAAATTTATAACTTAAGGTGACAAAATTTGTAAAAAATGTGACTTTGATGGGTTGTCTGCTAATAATAATAATGATGATGATAAGTACGCCTATGGGCCAAAAATGGAGTTATCTTCTAAGGTCGTATACTACAAAAATTGAATATTTCTTTTCCTAAATAAGGGACAATATGCGAAATATATTTAAGGAGTAAAATCTTCCAATTATTTTAAGAAAAATCATTTTTTTAATTGTCAAGGTTTTTGTCCTGTAAACAAACATTTTAACTCTGAGGAGATCCCCATCGCAAAAAATGCAACTGACTTAACAAACAGAAATATTACTGATTTGAAGAAGAAGTTTAAAGAAGGGGTTCATGATTGATGGAAAATACAGCCAAAAGACATAAGTTGGCTTTAGATAACAATAATAATATCCTCTAGAATAAATAAATGACACCATTCTATGCAGGGCGCTTTTGGGGCACTATTGAGAAATGTATTTTATTTTAGAAATGTTTATCCTGATGATAGATTTGGAGAGGGTACTCAATCCCGTACAGGTTAATTACAGTTATTATGACAATATATAATTATATATATGTGTACACTGTACACTTTGTACACTTTGTACACTTTGTACACTTTGTACACAGTTGTACTTGTACACACAGAATTTTTATTCTGTAAATTTGAAGCAGTTCCTGTATTCCATGGTTTGATTTGATATGACTGTGCCTTTAAAACTCTTTTAGAATGTAAAAATACAGAGTTACCCACAAAAGATTAGACAAAAAAATGTAAGTTGTCCTTATTGGCAAAAAAGGTTTTCACTCTCGCAGATAGAAAAACTTGGGTTTGGATATTTATTTCGATATATTTTTATATCCTCATCAGTCCTACAGAAAATGACCAAAATTATTGCATAGTTAAATGAAAAAATTATAACAATAAGAAAGGCAATATACAGAAAAAGTAAACAAAACCTGGAGAAAAAATATGAAAAAATAAAAATTTTAAAAAATTTAGAAAATTGTTAAATGAAAAAACTATAACAATAAGAAAGGCAATATACAGAAAAAGTAAACAAAACCTGGGGAAAAAATATAAAAAAATTAAAATTAAAAAATTTAGAAAATTGTTAAATGTAAAAATTATAACAATAAAAAAGGCAATGTACAGAAAAAGTAAACAAAACCTGGAGAAAAAATATAAAAAAATAAAAATTAAAAAATTTAGAAAATTGTTGAAAGAATTTTGGTCAACCTTAAAGAATGGTGGTATTAATAAAACTAAATGAAATGTATATTGAATACGAGGGGAGGGAGGTTGCAAGGTTGACCGTTAGGGACTATGAAATTATGAAATTTGGGGATGAAACTCAAAGGGGTTTTGAGGGCCGGGGAGGGGGGGAGGGGATCATGGGTTTGTAATTATGAAATAGAGACCATTTAAAATAACAATAATAATAGCCTATAAAAAAGAAAATCGGAGAAAAAAACAAAAAAAAAAACAACAAAATAAAAACCAAATTTAACAGAAATAATTACAGAAACTGAAACAGGGAGTTGCATCATCTTTTCTAGTTCAGTTCCTTGACTAGACAATAGAGACGACATGAAACTCTTTAAATATGAAGTTACAACGTTAAATTGCCTTTAATTTTGTCTTTTAAAGGGAGTGTTCGCGAAAATTATAAGGGGTTTAGGATGATCCCTAATTCAGTTTGGTTTTGATCGCTACTAATTTTACTTCTATCTGTTGCATATAGAAGGCGAAACTCCTTGCACCCCAGAGATTAGAATCGATATATTGGTTGTAAGGCATTTATAACCATTTTCTGCTTTTGTACACAACTGATAGAATTAAAATTAGTATCGATCAAAACTGAATTCAATTCGGGATCAGTATATACCCCTGTCATTTTTCGCGAACATCCTCTTTGATGACTTATTTAATGACTTGGCAAAGAAAGAAACCAGTTACAGAGTTGCAGAGAGTTGCAGTGGTCAAAGAATCATATATAATGAAATGTAGAGTATAAATTCCGTCTAGTTTTCCCTGAAGTTTCGTCCTTAGTGAGTATCCCTGAATCTATTTCTATTAATTTAGTACAACCTGGAACTGAAACCTATTCGAGTAACTCTACGTATTCAGCTCCCCCTACATTTACACCAGCTCCACCTTCTATATCTGTCCCACCAACTTTTCCTTCTTATAGTTCTCCGCCATCCTTCCAACCTATGACACCGTTCCCTCCAATATCTTCTACAGGGTTCAGTGGCACACCTACTATTGGATACAGTGCCACACCCACCACAGGATACAGTGCCACACCCACCACAGGATACAATGCCACACCTACTACAGGATACAGTGCCACACCTACTACAGGATACACTGCCACACCCACCACAGGATACAATGCCACACCTACTACAGGATACAGTGCCACACCTACTTCAGGATACAGTGCCACACCTACTTCAGGATACAGTGCCACACCTACTTCAGGATACAGTGCCACACCTACTATAGGATACAGTGCCACACCTACTATAGGATACAGTCCCACACCCACCCCTGTCTCAATTCCTTCTGGTCCCCCTCCAACTTTTTTCAGGTCTTTAATAAATTCAATTTTATTTTTTTTTATATATTATCACTTCGGATTAAGGATGGACAGTGATTATTATTATTATTATTATTATTGTTGTTGGATTACTGAAGATTTAGAAAAAGCTCTTCTTTATTTTTGTTTTTAAAACTATGTGTCTGTTATCTCAATTTTAGTATAAAAAATGAGAATTATTTCAAATCTATCCAGCTTTCAAATAAAATAATGAATGTTTTTCTAGTCCTGCCAGTATACCCGTAGCTCCAGTCTCATCTACTACTAGATCTTTAATCTACCCTAGACCAGGTGTATATGCTGTGACATAGGGCGCTTCGCGTCTTAGATCTTTCCTCCAACTTCACGTGGAATTTTGTTTGTAAAAATACGGGGAAATTGTTCGTTGCATACCTGTGGAAAATACTTAACGGGAAATTGCTCAGAGGGAAAATACTCTATGAAAAAAGTACTATAGGAAAGGTTTTTTTTGGGAAAATGCTCTATGAAAATGCTGTTAGGAAACATTCTCTATGGGAAAGTTCTTTTTTGTAAACTGTTCTACGGAACTGGGGTTTTTTACGGAATGTTTTTTGGGAAAATACCCAGTGGAAGACCGAAAAAATACCCTTTGTTAAACCCGTAAAATATACTTTGGAAAAGTGTTTTGGTGGTAAAGTTTTAAATGGGAAAATTCTGTATGGGAAAATCATCTTTGGAAAAAAATTCCTTTGGAAAATACTTTTTGAGAAAATAATCTTTGGGAAAATGCTTCTTAGGAAAATGATTAAATGGAAAGTGCTCCATGGTCAATGAGAAAATGCTATTTTGGAAAACAATCTATGGCAAACTATTCTTTCTGAAAATACTTCTTGGGAAATAGTTTAATTGGGAAAATATATATTTGGGAATTAGTCACTTGGGAAATATGTATTTATTAAAGCAGTTAAAGGGACTGTAAGTGTAATTACAAGGGACCCTGTATGTAAAGATGACAATGCCCGATTTACAACGTTAACCACAAAAGCTTTGTCTGATCAAGTAAAAATTAGATATTCATGCTTTTGTTTATTTAAACTGATTATTTTCATTTTGAGTCAAAACAAACGACGTTATCTTCCACACAATTGATCAGATTAAGTATTCAAGGTCACCGTTGTAAATCGGGCATTGATATATTTGCATGGAGGGTCACTTGAAATCACGTTTACAGTCCCTTTATTTCCAATATTACCAGTTGGAACTGGGACCGGAACTGGAGGTCCGGGGATGGATCCAACTGCTCCTGTTGAGACTGACAAACCAATTCCTCCTCCACCCAAGGTTTGATTTTATTTTACTAATTAATATATATATGGTTACCCACAAAGGATGAGACTACAGAGACAATTCCAAGGTTGAATTGTATATTCTGTCCAAAAAATAGACTTTTTATAGCTTACTTATTGACTTGGAAAAGAAAGAAACCAGTTAGCAGTTGCAGGAAATCATGAATATAAGGAAACAGGCCGAATAATTCCGTACAGTCCTCTCTAAAGTCTTAACATTTGCAGGAGCCATGTACCTTCTCATGTACCTTCTCTTACTCGAAAATCTATCAAGGGTTTGCTTTTTACTATTTTTGAAGCGTTTTGCTACATAAAATTCTCAAGGAAAATTGTATATGTCTTTAAAGGCTTCAATAAAGTATTAATGGGCTGGCAATGTCAAACCAAGGGCAATTCCCTGGTGACACTTAAAAGTTGGCCCGGGCTTTTAAGTTGGACATCATGTCTGGATATCTGTGCTTTATAAATTAACTTTCATACTTTTTATGTGTTTCAATTTAATGAAACTTAAACATACAGGGTTACCCCTAATGGATGAGACTTCAGAGACGACTGTACGGAATGTATACTGCCTGTTCCGTCTATTTCATGACTTTTTGCATCTATAAACTTCTTTCTTTGCCAAATCATTAAATAAACCAGATAAAGACCATATTCAATGCAGAAGACTTAATTTAAACTTGGGATCTTCAAATTTTAAAACTTTTAAGTCGTCTTTACATTCTTATCCTTTGTAGGTAAACCTGTATATTAAATGGTTTTGTATAATTTTAATGTTTAAAGATGGCCGGAGGGATGATGCAATGAAAATCTACTTCAAAAAGAGAAAAAATCTACCGCCAGTCTGTCACAAGCCTCTTATGAAATATCATATTTTGTTTATATACAGTAACAATCAGTATAATGAGAAATTGTTGTCGTCTTCCCGTTTAATTTTGCATGCCTCTAAGAATTTTGTAATTTTCCTTGTTAAATCCATAGCAGCTTTACAAATTAAAGAAAGAGCAAAGATGACAATTATTTCTATTTTTTTAATTAACACTATCTCTAACTTTACATTCCTAAAAATTGTATATTTTTCCTTTTGAAAATATTTTTCCAAGTTTAGAAATTAGCTGATTAATTCCCATTAGTCAAAATCTCGTTTTACATTTTTGTACATTTTGCAGACATTTTAGAAGTTTTTTTAAATTAAATTTTGTGGGGGAAAAGTAAGAAAGTTAGCAAATTGAATGTCAAATCTTATTCTTTTATAGTCGGTTTTCAACCTTTTTTTGTCGGTTTTCAACCCTTTTTAGTCGGTTTTCAAATGCATAAGTTGAATACAGATTTTAAAAAGGACTGTTGTTACAGTTTTAAGAGACCTTGCTTGAGTTGCTATTGCATGAAATCGAATCAGAATTAAAGACTCATTAGGTCGAATTAAAAAATTTTTAAGCCGCGGCTCAAATATGGTTGATTCCACTCATAATCGTTTTCAATTTTTCAAGATTTAAGCCGGCGCTCAATTGAAATCGGTTTTTGGCGGATTTGAGACACAGCTCAAATTCATTAAATTCTGACTCAGGCTTCTTGTAAACAAGAAATGCGCATGTCACTTTTACATAGAAACCGCAAATGATAATAAAGAAGTTTAAAGAACAAAATCGTTGATATCTAATTCATACTTGATCATTCAAATCTTGGCCTTACTGTTGTGAATTGGGCATTGCATCTTTGCACAGATGGTCACTTGAAATTACGCTTACAGTCCCTTCAATTCAAAGAACGGAAAAACATTAAACTTAGATTGTTATTTATATTTTTAGAATTTAATACTTTTTATTTTAATGTTGAAGGAGATCCCTTCTTTTGCATTGTCAACATTGTACAGAATTCTTAATTTTAGTATGAATGTGATTTTTTTAGGACGGTGGTGACGGATATATTTACTAAAGGGATTGTACGCGTAATTTTTATAATTCTCCGTTTACAATATGGTTTGTCCGATACACTATGTACCCTGACCATATGTAATGAATTTGATATCGTTGTTATTTAAGCATGCCTTCCTTTTAAAAAGAAGGTTTTATGAAATTACAACATTTATTTTAATATTTACTTTTTGTAATGTTAAAGGTTATAGTTTAAATATATTTATTTATTATGATATTTTGTTTTGAAATGAAATTGTGACAAACTTAAAGTGGTCACCGTTTATATCAGTACTATAAAGACGACTTCTCCTATTAAGTTTAATTTCTAACTAGCTTTTTCCAAAGTACAAGTTCACAATTGTAAACAAACTTATTCTAGTTTTCAGTTTTATGTGTATCCATGCTGTTTGAAAACTTGGTATAGAAATAAAAATTTGAAATCGGAAGGCGTTATCATTGTATTGATATAAACGACGATTAAAGAAAAAAAGATATAATGTAAGATACAAGGTGTCCCACATTATATTAGATCGTCAATCGACCTAAATTAAGATTTTCGGGACTTATTTTGAAAAATTGGATAAGGCTAATTTGTAAGAATTTTCTCGTGGAAAATACTAGATTTTGTGAATTATGGTTTTATTTTGTCGTTAAAGCTTTGAGATAATCTAATTTGATATGGGACGCTCTGTAGATTAAAGTATTTAAAGAATTAAAGTTTAATAATGTAGAAAGAAAGCTTTTTATCGATTTAAAGAGACAATATCCGAGTCAAGATGACACTGACAGGAAACAGAAAGAATGAGGATTAAGGTGATATATATATCCAGTATCTGAAACTATAATTCTGAAGGTTAAATCTGCATTGAAAGGAACTGCAGCTTAAGCGTATAATTACAAGTGGCCCTCCACACAAAGATGGTAAGACATATTAGCCTACCCTTACCCTACCCTACCCTACCCTTAAAAATTTTGCTGATCAAGTTTGAATTATTTAACCTTTTTTTTGTACAAAAGTGTTTATTTTCAGTTGTGTTGTGGTTTCAATTTTTACCATGTGACAACTGCGCTTTTTTTGCTGACAAGAAACAAGGAGAATTTCACAAAATAACCATTTTCTAGTTAGGAAAACAACGGTATCTTCCACAGTTTTAATCAGATTAAGGATTTAAGAGAACCAGTGTAAATCGGTCAATCTTTTGCATGGAGATTTGGCGAAGAGAGTAATAATTAAAAGCTATAAACGGATCCATCATCAATGATCCTCAGTTGTTAAACTTATAACGAGTAGGTCAGAAGTGTAGTATAGCAGATGTGCGTAGGTCGGAAGGTGCAGCACAATCTTTAAATAATCAAAATCGATCAATCAATTAATACAAATCTAGGGTTTTAAGAAGAGAACGCGGCAATTTACAGTTTCTGCGCACTTTTAGTGTACGCGTGTAATTATTCGGCAATTGAAAGATCTCTCTGACGCATTTTTGTCCATTTAAATCGTCTATAACTATGTCCTTAAATGTCCACTATTGTTATTTAATATCTATAAAAATGTTTCAGATTAATAAATAGCGAGTTAAAAAAACTTTTCACCAGAATGAACTTAAATAGGTAACATAATTTGTTCATAGTTTTTTTTACTATTCATTTTATTTTCATTTTATCCAAAACATTTGTTAACATTTTTGCGTCTGTCCTAAAACTCGAATTTTAGACCCTCACTTCCCCGCCCCCCATCCATATCAATTTTATACATGACCACTTATTTTTCAGCAAAATTATTATTATTTTTTTACTTTATTTGAGGGTTAGGTTAGGTTAGCGCTGCGGCTAGGAGAGGCTAGGAGGCCGAGCTCCGCTGCTAGGACAGGCTTTGAGGCGCCA